GAAATAATTCAAGTTTTTTTTTTTCCACTGTGACTGTCGGACTTGCCCAATGGCTCCTTTCCAGAGTTACATCCACAATTCCGAAACTGTCTGCTATTGCGCAAGAATAAAAAATACCCGCATATCCAATCTGAATCGCAAGTCGAGTAAGCTTCGCTTGTAGAACTGAGCGCTCCTTTTTGCTTTCAACTTCTTCCCTCACAACCTCGTTACTCAGACCGCCGTTACTTCCCTCCGTTAAACCATCCGCTTTTACATCTGAAAAAGAACGCTGCTTTACTGTCTCGATTCCCAACAAGACTAAAAACTTCAAAAAATCCGGAGCGAACATTTCAAAATAAGGGCAAATTTTTGCCCTGCCACGACACCTCTATCGCCTACAATAGTCTGATGCAAACCCCCATATCTGGCCACTATTCATGGGAAATTAGCGTTGGAAAATTATTTTCCCATCACTCAAAAAGTTCCGTTAATTTTGCAGGTGTGTCAAAAAACAAATGTTAGCGATAACACTCAAGTTGATGTACAGACAAAACCAGTCTTGCTGAACAACCGAAAGCCACTAGACGTCCTGAACCTACTCTAGTACGATTATATGAGTGAACAAAAGAATGACATCCGATTTTGTCCAAAACACCACTTTGATAAGGATGGAAATTAAGTCCGAACACAATTAACTGCCGGTCAGTAGCTCAGCAGAGACAGTCTTCCCACTGAAGCGGTCCTTGGCACAAACAGGCTAACACTATTACTCATTTACGAAAAAAATTACTGATGTGATTCAATATTTCGGGTTGATGGTTTTTTAAATGGTACGTATTTTGAAAATTCCCAATCAACAACCTCCGATTCCTCTGCCAAGACCAATAGTGTATACTGCGCACCACGTGTACAGACACTTACATGGGCTTGTATACATGTGTACAACGGGCAATTACCGAACTCGCTCGGCTCGGCCGCCACTGAGAGACACCTTCGTTTCTTGGCTGATACTATTTTACAATGCCACTTGCTGGCACTGCTTGGCACTTTGCTAGCGGGGCTGGATAGTGTACTCAGCGCTCGGTGACCGGATGACATGGTTGTGAGGGAGATGCATACAGGGGTGGGACGTGGTAGAGGGGTGGTGGTTGGCGGAAGCCCGGATGCTGCTTTGAAGGCAGGGACTGGGGACAGGATAGAGAAGGGGAGCAGCGATACCAGCCAGGACTCTGAGGCAAGAAATGGAGACAGTGATTGAGGGGTGATAGGCGATGGGTGCCCAGATGCTGCTCTAGCGGCAAGAACTGCGGATAAGACAGAGAAGGGGAACAAAGGTATTAGTCAGAAGTTCGAGGCAAGAACTGAAGACAGCAGAAAAGAGAAAACAACACAACATTACAAAGAAAAGTAAACTAAAGCAAACCTGAGCTTATGAATAAAAAAGAAAAAAATGCAATATCAAGAAATCAGAGCATACGAATAAGAAAAACTGAACTTGTGCGAGGGGAAATCGGGTTACAAAAACTCGTCTACACCCGGGGGAGGTCCTTATGAAGTTGATGCTTATCCGAAGCTGAGAACGAATAGATCCGACTGGATTCAAACAAAAATTTCAAACATTTCCAGTGTGCTGCCTTTGGCAACCTGCGACCGTGCACAACATTTACGCCTCTGTTTTTTCCGGCCACCAAAATTTCACAAAAGCAAAGGCTGACTCCATCTTCACGCACCTAGTTTACCCTCTTTTTGCTCCGTTCATGTCCTACAATGGAACTTGTATGCCCACAGCTTTACCTAAGTATCGGCTTCATAAACATAGGAGTCTCTTACTGAAGACGGGCTTTTATAGGATAATTTCCACAAACATATGCCCAGTTTTCTTGCCTTTGCTTTTATCCACAGGTTCAGGTTTGCTTTAATTCACATTTCCTTGTAGTGCCGTGTTGTTTCCTTCCCTTTACTTTATCTCCAGTTCTTGCCTCGAGTTTCTAACTTGAATCCTCATCCTCCTTCTCTACTCCGTCCGCAAATCCTGCCTGCAAAGCAATATCTGAGCCCTTTCCATACCCATTATAAGAGCACTGTGGAAGCAAGCAGCATTTCAGCTCTTTCCCTTCCCTCGGGTATCCGCGAAAAAAACCAGGAGCACACTTCCTCTTCCTTTCCATCCATCACCTCTTCCCCTCTCCCTCCAAATGCACGTGAACTAGCCAACCGACAAAGGATCTACGCCATGCAGGCATTAAATCTACTTGCCCCAGCCCCTCCCTTACCTCGAACGAAACGCGCAGAGCACCATCCATCCTCCCCACTTGCCACATTCAAACTTCCTCCACTCACTGTAGGGCAATCTTACTCGCTATCACTAAGAAAAAGTTTTCGCAATTCGTATACCGGCCGAGCCCAGCTGAATTTTGGTAACTGCCCATACAATGTATACCAAGAATGCCAAGAATACTAGAACAATCGATATAAGGAATTCATGTTAGTGTTGCTATTAGAATGCTTCCACAGGTCAGGTGCAGCCATGCCATTCTTCCACCCTGAACTGCACATTCACCACCTGTTCTACATGTATGCGCCACCGCTTCAGAGGTCACCCGAGTGGTCCAATATGTCCTCATAAGCATCATTCACTAGTGCGCGGCGTCCTCCGGCTGCCAGCAAGCAAAACGGAAATTCTCGAACCAAATAAACAGGTCCCAAAAAGCGGCTCCTATTGCAGTCCACAAATTCTTACCAATGCTTTTGGAAAAAGAGAGACAAGAAATGAAATTCCTTTGCTTTTATTATGCGTTTTTGCTGCGCAGCGCTATAGCAGCGGTACAGCCAGCAAAAACGCATATTGTCGAGAGGCTGTCCGTGTGTGTGTGTTCGGAAAGCGAGTGCATTTTGT